TTTGTACCTACATTAAACACTCAGTACAAGGTTTTCTTTTGTTAAACCAGTTGTCACTTTAATGTGATAGAATTGGCTGAGCAGTAACAGGTGACAGCTCTAGTCATCTATGCTCTCCAGATGGAACTATCTTGTGTTCTTTCATAAACCCTTTACTTGTCACTGAGGACTCTGAGGCAGCTGTTCACTGGAAGATCAATGAAATACTAGTTTCAGAGGTTACTAGAGAAATGGAAGAGCTAAATATGATCTTAACTAGTCATTACCTGGGAAGAGAACAATGACTCACATCAATTTCAGAAAGTTAAACAGCCTTTTAGAAACTGCCATGACTCACAAGTACTGCACGCACACACATACACACACAATCTTATTCTCTGTTCAAGGCATTTAGTTCTTCTGTAGAGAAACTAAGCTCTCTCCTCCCTGAACCTGCAACAGCCTTATATTAATGTAATTACCTTGACATTAGACAGCTAATTGATTCAAAGACGTAGATGCTATATATGCATTTCTTGCTGACTGGGTTGCATAAACTGTTGACCTATAAACTGCTGTGAAAAAACACATAATAGAAATGAAGTTTTTTTTCTTTTTTTCTAACAGATTTTGTTTGCTTTGGATTGCAAGTAAAGCAACTCTCAAAATCAAACTAACTCCAGGCAGGCTTGCTTTGAGGACATAGTTTTCTAAAATAAAATTTTTTTTCAGCGAGTATTCAGGTGAGGGGTTATTTTGGTTTCTGAAGCATTCATTTGAGTCATAATAATTCAGTATCCATTGAAATAATTAACACAAGCAAAGCTGAAGGTAGCCAGGCTAGAAGACTCTGTCTGGAAATGGAAGCAAAGATGATATTTTAGCAGTGCTGGTATTTCCAATTCATGTTAATGATCCATCAGTTACTACTGTAACTTACATATATATGTATGCTACCTTTTGAGGGATACTTTGGACATTAAAATAACTGAAAATCAACAAGCACTTTTGCTAATTTAAACTGCAAAAGGGTTTTCCACTGCAATGATTACAGTATGACCAGAAAACACACATGCATTCAATGAAGATCATACAGCAGGAAAAGGTAATGCACTGGACAACCTTCTGAGTATTCTTCACATATTTGTTCTGGCCCAGATGGAGAAGCTAATTCATGATAATTAGGGTGTAAATTTCCAAGCACTGCAGCTTAGCTGCCCTAGTTCCCACTAAGGCCACTTTGTCTTGCTAGGAGAAAGTAATCTTGCTTTGAAAGTACAGTAAGTTGTTTTCCTTTTAAACTGAAGCATCTCCAGCAAGGATAGTGTGAATTAGTGACATGTAAATTCTCACACAAATTATATCACAAATTTAACAAAAGTCACTAGGAAAATCAATTAAGATGACCTATATCCACAAACAGCGTTACTGAGTTCTTTTTTGCCTTGAAGAGGAGGGACTAGTGTATCCCAAGAAAGGAGGTAGAATTACTGTAAATGAGCTTAAGTAGCTGAGTAAACAGTTTGATCTGCCTACCAACTAACTACTCACCTGAGCAACTAAGATAGCTGAACATGGCACGGTGTGCCCACACTGCAGTGAGCCTGACACAGCAGCTGAGAGAAGTTGTCCTCTGATGGTTGTTTACCAGACTGTCTGAAATAAGCAAATTCAATTCTTATCCGAAAAGTGTCTGCCTTGCAAAACGCAGAAGAATGAGATTCCCCTGCTGATCATCTTGGTGCAAGCGAAGAGGAACAAAAACTTAATTACCCTTCTGCTCCAACAAATGGTACCTCCTCACTAAAATCCAGAAACTGCATTGGGGAGTGTCTACGCCTTTACCCATTCCAAAATCATCCTATGTGGATTATTTCATCCTGCAGGGCTGCCAGGCCTGAATTTAAACCAAACACATTACGCTGTTTGCAATTCTTTGATTGTATTTGTCAATATTCTTTGCTATCAGGTTTAGGACTTCATTTTAAGTAAGTAAAAATATGCTTTTAACTACAAAACTGCATGAAATCTTCCATTTTCCCCACTACACAGCCAGGGTCTTCTTTAAAAAGATAACTTTGAGTTTAGAAATTCCAGTTCTAGGAACATTAATTTAACAGTGCTGCAAGGCAAAGATATATTAAGCCTGTTTGAATTCCTAGGTGAGATGTGAAACAAAAGTGGGGGGAGTCTCCAGATAAACTAAGAGCAATTGTTTGACAGCATTCTGGTCCAAGGCTGCATGGACCATAGTCATATAAACTCATTTTATGCACTGTCTTTTTCATTAACTTAATTAATGTCTTCTGTCTCTGAACATCGTATGTGAATTCCAAACCCTGCAATTCTGGGCCTCAAATCTGAGGCATCTGAATTTACTGTCATGTTCTATTGTGAAAGTAGATCACCACACGATTTCATATCTGAATATCTGTCAGATTCACAGGTGCTAACAGCAGACATTCATCCTTCTGTCTATACAACTTCTTAAATGAGATTCTGCTTCAACACGCAAGTTTTATGGTATTGATATGAAAATGTGCTTTTTCACAACAATAACTAATATTTTACTATCTTTGACACCAAGAAAAATGTTTCTTAAATACTACAGAACATTTTGAGACAGTCTGAGATATGCATGAAATGTCCCTACAGGAAAGCCAGTTTATTCAAGGGACTGGCATATATTTTCAGTCTGCTTTATATTTTAGAAGTGGCTGTAATCTCAGACTAACTAGATATTTGAGAAATCCTGAAAGATAGAAGATTGGAAAAGATAAAAACCATCTTAAGCAAAGGGAATAGCCTTAGAAAGATCAACATTTTTGCATGTTTAATTACTTGTTCCATTATTTTTATGTTAATTTAAATTAAACAAGTAACAAGAAGAGAGCAAGAAAGAAATAATGAGGACCGATGATTAATCTAGGTAAAATTGTATGAAATGAAACTAAATTCTTTCTATAACAAAGTAGCAGGTCTTGGGAAGGAATGAGCAATAAAGTCGTATATCCTAACTCTGTGATCTGTTTCACAGTGCTGTCGGATTTTTGCCACTCTTAATATTGTGTATTTAATTATTCCTACCTAAATGAAGTAGCTCTTGCCTTTCTTTGTTGAGTTGCATATACTTTTCATACTGATTTCTTAACTTGTCATGACGATTCTCAATTTATATCCTACCCTTTCACAGGCAGTTAAGGGATCCTCTGCAGCTGATGGCTGAATGCTATTTGATAATCCTCTCTACTGTGTTATCCAAAATATTAATGGGAGTTTTGACTAGTGCTAGACCTAAGGTGGAATGCTATGTACAAAATCCTTTCATTTAGACAGTGAATCGTGAATAGTAAAAAATAATAGCAAAACCAGCTGCATTTTCCCAACATGATGCAGCAGTACTCAGAAAAATAGTTGCATGTTTTATCACAAATGGAATAAATCTGGAATGAAAGCAGAAAATATTGTACTAGGATATATAAGACAGAATGCAGCACTGAAGATGTGAAGTAGTGACATTTTGGAACATTACACTTGTGAAAACTATGTTCACATGTTTGAGATAATTCAGGAGATATTAGAGATATGAGCCTTGGAAATAAGGCAGAAAGAACTGAGCTCATTCTACCTAAAGAAAACTCTGAAGACACACAGGAAAACAGTCTTCAGATATGTAAAGTGGTAGTAAGTGTGGAAATATAATATTCTTTGCCCACTACAGATTGAGTAAAATGTAATGGTCTTAAAATATAAAAAGTGATTTACATTAGGAATTAGAAAGACTTTTCTATTGATAAAGATGTGAAATTGAGAATATGTTGCTAAACTTGCATGTTCCCAACATGATACTAAAAGTCATGTAAAAATGTCAAGCAAATCATGCTTCCATAACCGACCTTTGAAAATGCCATGCACACTGCATCCAAGGTCTAAGACTGGATGTTTAGCTAGATTTTGGTTATAAATTACAAACCAGAGACTCATTACCTTAGCTAACACACTCTAAATCACAAAACAAATAGAAAGGTTTAGGTTGGAAGGGTCCTTTAAAGATCACCTGGTCCAACCCCCTTGCCATGGGCAGAGACATCTTCCAATCCATCATGTTGCTCAAAGCCCCATCCAACCTGACCCTGAACACTTCCAGGGATATCCAAGCTGACAAGGTTTAAGAGCTATGGAGACAGAAGAAATGCAGATGATTACCTGCAGATGATTAAGGAACCATCCAGATCTGTTATTTAGAGTCCTACACAGTTTTTGACAGGTGACTGTAAAATATGGTTTTGAAATAATTATTTTAACCTGCTATTGTGAGTAGGACAAATGAAGCCAAAAGTTCAAGGGTGTAAACCTTCTATGAAAAAATCAATGATAATGTGGAGACTATTTACACTAGATATTTATGCAATCCTCATTATGGCAGTATCAGGACTTTTTCCAATATTTAATGTATTTCTCTTCACAATAATGCTGTAAGGTCAGTGAATCTGTGAAACTGCACAAAAATACAAGATTTGTGAATCCCTAGAGGAAATGCTCAGTAAAGCAATCATGAAGAGTAATCCAGTAATGAGATATCCCCTTGGGGGAAACCACACTTGATTTCTCTCTCTCTGTTTTTTTCAGATCTGCCAATATTACTGAATCCAGATATACTGGACAGACTATACATGTACAGATCAGCTGAGCATGTGCCACCAGTTCAGCACAGACCAGGACAGGTGCTGTTAGATACTCACCCAAGCTGTTAACATGCACATTAATGTGCAGCTACTCTCATCAAGTATTGGTCACCCAACAACAAGATGTTCTTTTCTTGCTGTCTGAAAAATTGGCAATTGCCTTCCAGAACGTGTTGTGCTGGAAGGCTTAGCAGGTATGTTGTTTACCTATTTTATCCAACGAGTAATTGCATTTAAAGTACATAAATAAGCCTTACTTAGGCATGCACCTAACAAGCCAAACTTAAAATTCAAATAACGAAATTATTTTATGAATCTGACACTAAAATGACTTACCAAAAGCCACAGAATGAGCAGTCATGTCTCAGACCCAGGTTGTCTTCTTAGTTGCATGACTATCTATTCTGCTTCATTGTCTCTCTCTGTGGTCTGATTTTTCAAAGAAGAATTTTAAATCTAGAAGAACAGAAATCCAAGGTCAGGTATGCAGGGCAGGAAAAAAATTATGTGGTGACCATCTCAGGAAGGTTTGAACACATTTTTTCATCTTTCTGGTCCTTGGCTGTAATAGAAATACAGCCTAATTAATAGATTTCTTAAAGTGTCTATCAAACTGCAACGTTACTTTTCTTTGTATGTTATCAAATGAGGATCCAATCCTGAAGTGTGTCTAAAATACAAATAATGCATACATATTATATACACAAATAATAGGTTTTACTTTTCTGAGTGTACCCACAGGTATTTCATGAGTGTGAACCACTCACATTAAGGCTTTTGAATCAGATCCATCCTCACAGATTACATTTAAACCAATATTCAAAGAACCACGAGATAATATATTTTGTGTTTCATTTTCATTTTGCAGAGAATTTTTTCTTAAAAATTTGAAAGAAATGAGTTCCAGTTTCTGCAAAAGAACAGAGGCAGAGTTAAGCTACATCACTTATTCTAGATTTGAGAACATTTTGCATGGCCATTGAGAAGATCAGTTCATTAGAAAGTCCAAAACTTGTGACTTGAGCATAAAATCTTTTCACAACACCAATATTAGGATACTTTGGAACTGAAAAGCAAAGCCTTCAGTTCTGTAAATACAAACGGCTTCCTGAATTAAGTACTAGAGAGAGCATCATCCTGAGCATGAGCTCTGGAGCCTACAACACCAAGTAGGGAAGGGAGTGGGATGTCAACCAGCAGGAGAAAGGTCTGCTGCTGGCCCAGATGTATACCTCTGTGGAAATTCGACCTCCATTTTCACCACTGCAGCTCCTGAGAATCAAGCAGGTATCTTAGAAAACATCAGTACTTGAACAAAATTCTGGATGTTAAACTGAGAGAATGCATAATAACTTCAGTTTTATGAGCATGGACCTGGATGCTGTAATTTTAACAGAACTATGCAGATTTGGTGCCCCCTGCTGTCTTTAACTACCAGAGTGGCCCATGAAAAATAAAAGTGCTTAAATACACTGAACAGCACAAAACACCCCCAAAGGGCAAATTAAGGATGCTGCTCAAAAAGGCACATTTAAACTAGAATGTGAGTCCACAGACTACTTTGGTGAAGCATCCAGGAGCTGAGAAAAGCAGAGCTTTTTGTTGGTAATAATCACAAATGGGAAAAGCATTGAGTGCACCATTGCCAATGGGAACCACAGAGACCTTGGCACTCCTCCATTGCTTGAAAGCAGGACCACAGAAAAGACTCGGTCTCTTGTGGGGATAAAACCACATGAAATCTTTGTGGTCTCTTTTTTCTTGCTCAGCGCTGGGTCTGCTACATTCCTGCCTCTCTACTCCAAAAAGAGAGTTTAAACAGGCTCTACTTTCCTATGATGATAGCATCTAGAGGTCCCAAAAAATATTAGTACCAGTGGTACCCCCAGGTACACAGTGGGTGCATCTCCATAAGTTTTTGTTATCACCTAAAATGGAAGACATGCTCCAGGAGCATACCCAATACAGCAGGCTCCTGCAGGGGACAAGCCCAGAGCTAACCCAAAACACAACCCCTCTAATGCATACAGCACAGCTCTTGGGGTGGCAGCACAACCTGCTTCTCTCTACTGAGCAAACCTTCCTGGGCCACGCTGCATGCTAAAGGAAAGGTACCCACTTAATAAGACTCACCTGCTGAATCTCACTGCCACTGAGGGCGATTTTCTAACCTCTCTGTCCCTCTAGCTGCTTGTTCCCAGTCCATCCACTTTGTTAGCCCCGGCAACCTTCAGACGGAACAGTGAGCTTGCTTAACTTCCAGACTCAATCAAAAACTAATACCTGCTTCTTTTTTTTTCCTTTTTCCCAGGGCTGGTTTTCAGTTGGATCAGTTTATTGTATGGTCATGCGGGTGCCTGGTCTGATGTAAGAAGGAGGAGGAATGTCCCTTTGGCAGCAGTACAGTCTCAGATTGGCTTAAGCTAATCATGAAACTTCTGTCCTAAATCAAATAAGGGTGTGAGGTGTCAGTTGGTGCAATGGCTTGTCCAAACTAACAGAGCACATTTCTAGCACAGCTGGGTTGAAATTCTGCTATAATCAATGGCTGATATATTATATCCCTAATTTATTTTCATTTCTCTGTTGGTCTCTCATCCCTTCCTTGTACTCCTCCCAGAATACTACACAATGTAAGTGATGGTGAAGCAAAGCTACAGTGCCCCATCTGAGCCTCTGCAAAGCAGCAGACAGGACTTTTGGAGGAAGAATGTCTAAGTGATTTTCTAATGCAAATCAACAGTAGGTTAACAACTGATAACTTTGCTTACACTCAAAGACATTTCTTTAAAGGGGCCTTTGTTCAGTAGTCACAAGTAACCAATCAATTACTTCCTCCCTTGGCTATCTGCACTTGAAGATGAAAAAAATCAAACAAAATATTCCACAGAGACAATCCTGTCTTGCTGTGAAAAGGGGTGTTCAGTGCCTGTATTCCTGAAGCCATGGGTGCTAAAAGAGCGCTGTGCTGTACTTCAAGCAGATGTGCTGCAGAGGATGCTTCATCATTTCATATTCTCCTCATGCTGGAAGGCTTTTAGGACTGACATTGAATCTATGAGTCACTGACACTTCTGGAAAGGCTTTCTGGTGAACAAGATGAAATTTCTGTCATTTGTAGTGTCTGAGAAGGTTTTTCAACTTCAAGAGAAAAGAACTTATTCAGTTTCTCTGACACTTATTTATACATCCAAGTTCTAAATGGCCATTTTCAACTCTTGAACTCCTGTGACTTAGTGAAATGGTATGATCTGTATTACATCTTCTGTAGCAGTATTTAAACAAATATCCTTAATAAAATCTTGCTCACTCCCACCATCTAGAAATCCTATTTTGTATTTCACACATTTTATTTTTATATCTCAGCATTCAAAACACCAGAAGGCAAGAGTCTGGCCTGATAACTATTAAATTAGTTGCACTCTGATGCAAAATCAACTTGCTTACTTGTTATTTTACTCAGTGAACTGGCTGCAGGAGCTGTCTAAAAATTCATTTCTATCTCCTCTACACGTTGTGTAAGTCAGCAGTCTGTCCTCTATTCACCTCTTTTCAGGGTGAAACACAGCCACACATAGCCATGTCAGGGGTTGTGCAAGAAGAAGATTATGAGGGTGGATCCACTTGTTTTGATCTCCCAGCAGAGCACTCTGGTTCACTCTGCTAGCAGGCTCCTGCAGCCACTTTCTTGCTCTTTTTCCACCCCTAAGCTCTCTTCTTTCCCCTTTTCTTGTTTTTCTCCCTGAAATCAATAAATTTATGTGCATATCTGGCAGCCACCACTTGCAGACAGCCAGACCTTGATGCTCTTGAGAACAAGGAGCAAATTTTTAACTATTGAAATAAAGTTGAGTGCTGGAAGAGCTGGTTTGTCACAGAAGGGAGTGTGCAGAGGGATGAGCATGGAGGTTTAAGTCAGAAGGTCTTATTATCACTAGACCTCAGGGCACTGGCTAATCAGTAGGGGTGTAGCTTTATTAAGAAAACTGTATTTTATGATATTTATGTCTGTATCTGAAACATTCGGTTTCAGTAAGACACCAGAGACACTTCATGAGCCACTGGAGTGCTACATCATAGCAATTAATAACAATTACTAGGAGATTCTCTTCCAGGGCATGCCAGGCCCCAGTGTGTAGGAAGGGGTAAAATACATCACTACTCATGTCTTTCAAGTATGCTCTTCCCAACACATCAACTAAGGTGAATACCAACATACAAGTCAGACTTCTTTCTTCTCTCAGCATACTCTTTTTCCTCTGATTCGAGTATTGGAACACATTTAATCTAGTACATATCTGGATGTTCTTTTACCTAAAAATGTAGATTTGCACATTGTGAGTTGTAACTTTCTCCTCAGAGGATAAGAAAACACTCTTAGAATAAAGAATACTGAACCGGGAAGCAAAAAACTCCAAACTCAGTTCACAACGTAAACAAAAGACCATGCACTTACTCCACTTGTTAGACATCCTGTCTAGAATAGGATGGCAAATTGCCCAAGGTTTTGTTTATGCTGGCTAGCAAAATACGCTATAAACAAAGCAGAAGACAAACTAGTTTCTAACGTGACTTGTACAGTCTTTGAGGAATAAAATCCAGCTTTTTAAGGCTAAAAACCAAAACAAACAAACAAGCTAGTGGAAGGATTGAAATGAGCTACATGTAATATAAAAACCAAAACAAAACAAGAGCAGGCATCAATGACCTAGAGCCAGAATCCAAGTCATTCAAACTCAGAATAAATAGTGGAGAGACACTAAGCAAAACCAAATTTCTGTAGCAATTATCCATGTTTCAGGGTTAGTTTAAAGAGCGAAAGATCTGCTCATGAGCTCCTTCTGGAGACTAGACTAGAATTGTGCCAAGTGTATACACGTGTTAGTATATCAGTAAGCACCAGTATATATTCTTATGTTAGAACAACCTTGTATCACACACACTTGTTCTTATCAGAAGCTGGAAGACAAAAACGCTCTTTATCCTGCAGTTAACAACATCAGGTGACAATCTGTTAGCAACACAGTAAACAGTGCACTTTATCAAGCATTATTTAATTTTCTTTGGGCACACTTTTCTACCTGTTTCTATCTTTTTGTGTCCTTGTAAAGATTGGGGCAGCAGGGTATGAAATCAGGACTAGTAAATGTTACAGAATTGCAAATAATGACATATAAAAACTGTATTTTTCATTATAAATAAATTTAGGTCCAACGTGTACAGTTTCGAAAGGTATTTTTATCTTGAATTCAGCATTTAAGGATTTAGTGACAAATATTTCATATGATACTCTTAAATGTGAAACCATTAAAAAAAATGCAAAAAAATTAATATTGATGTTCTTACAAAATGATGGCGTAACACAGCCTTTCAGCTTGTGTGTGTGTATGTCTGTCAGTCTGTCTGTCTTGGTTCTCTCCTCGCCCTGACACAAGTGGACTCGCCAGCATGTTTCA